TCTCACCGGTAGGGAGGTGGGTGAAGGGAATGAGCACTCTCACAGGTAGGTGGAGGTGAAGGGAATGAGCACTCTCACAGGTGGAGGTGAAGGGAAGTGAGCACTCTCACAGGTAGGTGAAGGGAGTGAGCACTCTCACAGGTAGGTGGAGGTGAAGGGAGTGAGCACTCTCACAGGTGGGTGGAGGGAATGAGCACTCTCACAGGTAGGTGGAGGTGAAGGGAGTGAGCACTCTCACAGGTAGGTGGAGGTGAAGGGAGTGAGCACTCTCACAGGTAGGTGGAGGTGAAGGGATGAGCACTCTCACAGGTAGGTGGAGGTGAAGGGAATGAGCACTCTCACAGGTAGGTGGGGGTGAAGGGAGTGAGCACTCTCACAGGTAGGTGGAGGTGAAGGAGATGAGCACTCTCACAGGTAGGTGGAGGTGAAGGGAGTGAGCACTCTCACAGGTAGGTGGAGGTGAAGGGAGTGAGCACTCTCACAGGTAGGTGGAGGTGAAGGGAGTGAGCACTCTCACAGGTAGGTGGAGGTGAAGGGAGTGAGCACTCTCACAGGTAGGTGGAGGTGAAGGGAGTGAGCACTCTCACAGGTAGGTGGAGGTGAAGGGAGTGAGCACTCTCACAGGTAGGTGGAGGTGGGGGAACCCGCTCTCCCCCCCCCCCCCCCCACGGGGAGGCGCGCCTCACACTTTGAAAAACGCTGCTTTAGATGAACAAGCTGAGAGAAGTTACCTGTGGCCCTCTCTCGATATATAGACACCATGAGGGAAAGTGGGAGATGCAGTACGGCAGAAAACACCAGGTGGCAGATCAGCCTGAACACAAGGTGGAGGGAGGAGGCAGGAGGTGCAGAGGAGGCAGGAGCTGCAGAGGAGGCAGGAGCTGCAGAGGAGGCTGTGGGCGGCTCCATGGTGGTCGTAGGTTTGTCTGCAGAGAGAATCACACCTGGTCAGGTGAACATCTGAAGGAATGAGTCAACCAAAGGAAAGCTCCTCACCTGAGACAGACAGCCGGCTCTCTGGAGACTCTTTACTCTGGACTCTACACTTGTAGAGGCCTTCATCAGACCTGGAGACATGGAGGAGGGTCATGTGACCATCAGACTCAGTCCCAATGAAGACGCCATCTTTGTAGAAAATCAGCAGAGGGGGGGTCGGCCATCTTTGTTCTACAGGTCAGAGTGACGTCATCTCCCTCCATCACAGGGAGGGCAGGACTCTGCAGGATCACTGATCCACCTGAACACAGAGACAACATGGCAGGACAAAACTGTATTCATGTTCAAATGGAGAAGACGTCACATACAGTGATTCTCATTGCCATTCCTAAACTGTAGCTTATGTTCATGTGACATTACAACCTTTGAATCTGGAGCAATCAGGACGAGGTGTTGATTATTTGATGATGTCCAGGGACTGTATTCTTTGTTCATATATCCTTGTGAGGACCATCTGGAGTTTAAGCACCTTAAGAGGACACTTTTAGAAAAAGAGCATTTTCTCTCTAAAATAATTATATTTAGAAATAAATAATATCGTAAACATAGTTTTTTCCCAGTCCCTAAAGTACGAGACTGTACTGAGGAGTGTTTTAGTGGATGATAGTGTGTGTGAGAATGTGTGTGTTGCACCCTGTGGTTAGCACAAGCTAGCAGCTCTGAGGTCGTCCAGCTTCCTCTTTCTGATGAACTTCTTAAAGTATTTTTAGTATTGATGAGGAAACAGAGAGGCTGATCTTACCAGAGACGGTGATGGTGATGGTGTTACTGGTGGATCCCTCTGTGGACTCACACCAGTACTCTCCACTGTCCCTTGGGTCCATGGAGCTGATGTTACAGGAGGAACCAGCAGGTGTTCCCCAGACTTTACACTCAGTTCTTCTTTCCCTGCTCGTGTTTCTCCTCACAGTCCATCCCTCAGAGGCGTCCTCACATCTCAGAGAGACACGTTCATCTCTAAACACCTGAGAGCTGCTTGGAGTCACCGTGAGACGAGCTGGAAGATTTATAAAACACTGAAGAAGAAGAAGCCACTGATATGTTCACTGATGAATCTAACATGCAGAGTTCAGTTTGTGAGGACAGAAAAGAGTTCAGTTACTCTGAGAGTGATGCATCAGGTCAACAGAGACTCAGCTCTGAGTTTGTGAGACGGAGAAAGTGTACTGACCCTGGTTAGTGGAGCAGCTCAGCAGGGAGGTGAGGACTGAGGAGAAACCACAGTGTGAGTTTACTGCGACACCCAGGACACTTCAACAGATCTGTATGCTGCTTTTAGAACACATGAATGTAGTGCAGAGTTAGCACGAGTCAGACTGGATAGAAGTTGAGGAAATACCAGACTTCTCTTTCAGCACTTGAATGCACCACAACAATCATATTAGATTGCAGTTCCTCCTGAACGTACCAGACAGTAAAGAGAGTTCCATCTCTCCAGACTCTGGATGCTTGTTGTGCAGGTCAGTGACCTCTCAGGTGTGTTTATGATATCTGAACGTCTTCCCTCATGCTAACAGTATAAAGATTGTACTTACAGACGAGGCGTTGAAGACTTGTTGGATCCATTGTACCTCTTTGTGATGTGGCATCAAACTGTTTCTCTGAAAGTAGCCCACACCAGTTTCCTTCCTGTCACCGCTTCCTTCAACCACTCTGAACACCTTTTGAAACACATCTACTAATCCTTCAGGTTATCAGTTTTACTCTTAGCTGCAAGGCTTCTGTGGTTAATACAAATAAAATAGTTTCCACTCAAATGAGACTCAGAGAATACTCTCTCAGTCAGAGTGAACACAACAACACAAGAGGCACAACTCAACATAAAAGCTTTTATTCAAAAGCCAAAGTCTCAAAGTCAACTTTAATGTCAATTTTTCCGTGTGTTTTACAGACATAGATCGAAATAACCATCCATCTTCTCCCGCTTATCCGTGGTCGGGTCGCGGGGGTAGCAGTTCCAGCAGAGAGCCCCAAACTTTCTTTTCCCTGGCGACATCAACCAGCTCTGACTGGGGGATCCCAAGGCGCTCCCAGGCCAGCGAAGAGATATAATCCCTCCACCTGGTCCTAGGTCTACCCCTCGGTCTCTTCCCAGCTGGACGTGCCTGGAACACCTCCCTAGGGAGGCACCCAGGTGGCATCCTAACTAGGTGCCCGAACCACCTCAACTGGCTCCTTTCGACGCGAAGGAGGAGCGGCTCAACTCCGAGTCCCTCCCTGATGACCGAACTTCTCACCTTATCCCTAAGGGAGACACCAGCCACTCTGCGGAGAAAACCCATCTCGGCCGCTTGTATCCGCGATCTCGTTCTTTCGGTCATGACCCATCCTTCATGACCATAGGTGAGGGTAGGAACGAAAATGGCCCGGAAGACAGAGAGCTTTGCCTTCTGGCTCAGCTCCCTTTTCGTCACAACGGTAAAGCGACTGCAGTACCGCTCCCGCTGCTCCGATTCTCCGGCCCATCTCACGCTCCATTGTTCCCTCACTCGAGAACAAGACCCCGAGATACTTGAACTCCTTCACTTGGGGTAAGGACTCATTCCCTACTTGGAGTGGACAGTCCATCGGTTTCCTGCTGAGAACCATGGCCTCAGATTTGGAGGTGCTGATCCTCATCCCAGCCGCTTCACACTCGGTTGCGAACCGATCCAGTGAGTGCTGAAGGTCGCAGACCGATGAAGCCATTAGAACCACATCATCTGCAAAAAGCAGTGGTGCAATCCTTAGTCCATCGAACTGCAGACCCCCTCCCCCATGACTACGCCTCAAAATCCTATCCATGTATATTACAAACAGGATTGGTGACAAAGCGCAGATCGAAATAACGTTTCCAAAAAACCCGAATACAAAATACAATAATTCAAATATGTATATATATATATATGTATATATATATATATATGTATATATATATATATATATATACACATTCAACAGACACATTTACACATTATTATTATTGAAACATGACCGGTAGTTTCAAATGTGTCCGGTAAAATCAATTCTGTCCGGACATATCCGCTTACATTCATAATGTCAGCGGAGGGAGGGGGGGCGGCGCTGTGGAAGAGCAGAGTGGAGGGAGAGCTGTCATCGTCCCTTTACAAGCTTCAAACATGTATTTATCGTGATTTTGGAAATAAAAGTTCCATATTCTGAAAGCCAAGACTTTGTTTATTTAAAATCAAACAAAACACCCGAACCCCGAAAAACTAGTTTTTTACTTAAATCCACGTTTATTTTGAAATGAGCCGTTGAGACTTCCGACTGATTTCCATAGAGCGGGTCACAGATGGCGAATGTGTGGTTGAGGGGAACCAGGTCAATTAAAGTACTTATTTAACTTTACTCAGTGGAGGCTCGTCCATCGAGGAAAGGGAGGACAATAAATACACCTGGAGAGAGGAAGAGGAGCTGTGTGATGAAGAGGAAGAGGAGCTGTGGGATGAAGAGGAAGAGGAGCTGTGTGATGAAGAGGAAGAGGAGCTGTGTGATGATGAAGAAGAGGAGCTGTGTGATGAAGAGGAAGAGGAGCTGTTGTGATAGGAAGGACTGTGTGATAGATGAGAAGAGGCTGTGTGATGAGGAGGAAGAGGAGCGTGTGTGATGAAGAGGAAGAGGAGCTGTGTGATTAAGAGGGAAGAGGAGCTGTGTGATGAAGATGAAGAGGAGCTGTGTGATGAAGAGGAAGAGGAGCTGTGTGATGAAGAGGAAGAGGAGCTGTGTGATGAAGAGGAAGAGGAGCTGTGTGATGATGAAGAAGAGGAGCTGTTGTGATGAAGAGAAGAGGAGGCTGTGTGATGAAGAGGAAGAGGGCTGTGTGATGAAGAGAAGAGGAGCTTGTGTGATGAATGAGGAAGAGGAGCTGTTGTGATGAAGAGGAAGAGGAGCTGTGTGATGAAGAGGAAGAGGAGCTGTGTGATGAAAGGAAGAGGAGCTGTGTGATGAAGAGGAAGAGGAGTGTGTGAATGAAAGAAGAGGAGCTGTGTGATGAAGAGGAGCTGTGTGATGAAGGAGGAAAGAGGAGCTGTGTGATGATAGGAGCTGTGTGATGAATGAGGGAGCTGTGTGATGAGAGGAAGAGGAGCTGTGTGATGATGAAGAAGAGGAGCTGTGTGATGAAGAGGCAGAGGAGCTGTGTTGATGAAGAGGGAAGATGAGCTGTGTGATGAAGAGGAAGAGGAGCTGTGTGATAGAAGAAGAGGAGCTGTGTGAATGAGAGAAGAGGAGGCTGTGTGATGATGAAGAAGAGGAGCTGTGTGATGAAGAAGAGGAGCTGTGTGATGAAGAGGAAGAGGAGCTGTGTGATGAAGAGGAAGAGGAGCTGTGTGATGATGAAGAAGAGGAGCTGTGTGATGAAGAAGAGGAAGAGGAGCTGTGTGATGAAGAGGAAGAGGAGCTGTGTGATGAAGAGGAGCTGTGTGAGGAAGAGGAGCTGTGTGAGGAAGAGGAGAGTGCTCTGTGATGAAGAAGAAGAGGAGCTGTGATGATGAAGAGGAGCTGTGATGATGAAGAGGAGGAGCTGTGATGAAGAAGAGGAGCTGTGATGATGAAGAGGAGCTGTGATGATGAAGAGGAGCTGTGTGATGATGAGGAAGAGGAGCTGTGTGATGAAGAGGAAGAGGAGCTGTGTGATGAAGAGGAAGAGGAGCTGTGTGATGAAGAGGAAGAGGAGCTGTGTGATGAAGAGGAAGAGGAGCTGTGTGATGATGAAGAAGAGGAGCTGTGTGATGAAGAGGAGCTGTGTGATGAAGAGGAAGAGGAGCTGTGTGATGAAGAGGAAGAGGAGCTGTGATGATGAAGAGGAAGAGGAGCTGTGATGAAGAAGAGGAGCTGTGATGATGAAGAGGAGCTGTGATGATGAAGAGGAGCTGTGATGAAGAAGAGGAGCTGTGATGAAGAAGAGGAGCTGTGATGATGAAGAGGAGGAGCTGTGTGATGATGAAGAAGAGGAGCTGTGATGATGAAGAGGAGCTGTGATGATGAAGAGGAGGAGCTGTGATGATGAAGAGGAGCTGTGATGATGAAGAGGAGCTGTGATGAAGAGGAGGAGCTGTGATGATGAAGAGGAGCTGTGATGATGAAGAGGAGCTGTGATGATGAAGAGGAGCTGTGATGATGAAGAGGAAGAGGAGCTGTGTGATGAAGAGAAGAGGAGCTGTGTGATGAAGAGGAGCTGTGTGATGAAGAGGAAGAGGAGCTGTGTGATGAAGAAGAGGAGCTGTGTGATGAAGAGGAAGAGGAGCTGTGTGATGATGAAGAAGAGGAGCTGTGTGATGATGAAGAAGAGGAGCTGTGTGATGAAGAGGAAGAGGAGCTGTGTGATGAAGAGGAAGAGGAGCTGTGTGATGAAGAGGAGCTGTGTGATGAAGAGGAAGAGGAGCTGTGTGATGAGAAGAGGAGCTGTGTGATGAAGAGGAAGAGGAGCTGTGTGATGAAGAGGAATAGGAGCTGTGTGATGAAGAAGAAGAGGAGCTGTGATGATGAAGAAGAGGAGCTGTGATGATGAAGAGGAGCTGTGATGATGATGAAGAAGAGGAGCTGTGATGATGAAGAGGAGCTGTGATGATGAAGAGGAGCTGTGATGATGAAGAGGAGCTGTGATGATGAAGAGGAGGAGCTGTGATGAAGAAGAGGAGCTGTGATGATGAAGAGGAAGAGGAGCTGGTGTGATGAGAGGAAGAGAGGAGCTGGTGATGATGAGAAGAGGAGCTGTGATGAAGAGGAGGAGCGTGTGATGAAGAGGAGCTGTGTGATGAAGAGGAAGAGGAGCTGTGTGATGAAGAAGAGGAGCTGTGTGATGAAGAGGAAGAGGAGCTGTGTGATGAAGAGGAAGAGGAGCTGTGTGATGAAGAGGAGCTGTGTGATGAAGAGGAGCTGTGTGATGATGAAGAAGAGGAGCTGTGTGATGAAGAGGAGCTGTGTGATGAAGAGGAGCTGTGTGATGAAGAGGAGCTGTGTGATGAAGAGGAAGAGGAGCTGTGTGATGAAGAGGAGCTGTGTGATAAAGAGGAAGAGGAGCTGTGTGATGAAGAGGAAGAGGAGCTGTGATGAAGAGGAAGAGGAGCTGTGTGATGATGAAGAAGAGGAGCTGTGATGAAGAGGAGGAGGAGCTGTGGTGATGAAGAGGAAGAGGAAGCTGTGTGATGAAGAGGAAGAGGAGCTGTGTGATGAAGAGGAAGAGGAGCTGTGTGATGAAGAGGAGCTGTGATAAAGAGGAAGAGGAGCTGTGTGATGAAGAGGAAGAGGAGCTGTGTGATGATGAAGAAGAGGAGCTGTGTGATGAAGAGGAGCTGTGATGATGAAGAGGAAGAGGAGCTGTGTGATGATGATGAAGAGGAGCTGTGTGATGAAGAGGAGCTGTGTGATGAAGAGGAGCTGTGTGATGAAGAGGAAGAGGAGCTGTGTGATGAAGAGGAGCTGTGTGAGGAAGAGGAGCTGTGTGATGAAGAGGAGCTGTGTGATGAAGAGGAAGAGGAGCTGTGTGATGAAGAGGAGCTGTGTGATGAAGAGGAGCTGTGTGATGAAGAGGAAGAGGAGCTGTGTGATGAAGAGGAAGAGGAGCTGTGGGATGATGAAGAAGAGGAGCTGTGTGATGAAGAGGAAGAGGAGCTGTGTGATGAAGAGGAAGAGGAGCTGTGTGATGATGAGGAAGAGGAGCTGTGTGATGATGAAGAAGAGGAGCTGTGTGATGAAGAGGAAGAGGAGCTGTGTGATGAAGAGGAAGAGGAGCTGTGTGATGAAGAGGAAGAGGAGCTGTGTGATGAAGAGGAAGAGGAGCTGTGGGATGAAGAGGAAGAGGAGCTGTGGGATGATGAAGAAGAGGAGCTGTGTGATGAAGAGGAAGAGGAGCTGTGTGATGAAGAGGAAGAGGAGCTGTGTGATGAAGAGGAAGAGGAGCTGTGTGATGAAGAGGAAGAGGAGCTGTGTGATGATGAAGAAGAGGAGCTGTGATGATGAAGAAGAGGAGCTGTGATGATGAAGAGGAAGAGGAGCTGTGTGATGATGAAGAAGAGGAGCTGTGTGATGAAGAGGAAGAGGAGCTGTGTGATGAAGAGGAAGAGGAGCTGTGTGATGAAGAGGAGCTGTGTGATGAAGAGGAAGAGGAGCTGTGTGATGAAGAGGAAGAGGAGCTGTGTGATGAAGAGGAAGAGGAGCTGTGTGATGATGAAGAAGAGGAGCTGTGTGATGAAGAGGAAGAGGAGCTGTGTGATGATGAAGAAGAGGAGCTGTGTGATGATGAGGAAGAGGAGCTGTGTGATGAAGAGGAAGAGGAGCTGTGTGATGAAGAGGAAGAGGAGCTGTGTGATGATGAAGAAGAGGAGCTGTGTGATGAAGAGGAAGAGGAGCTGTGTGATGAAGAGGAAGAGGAGCTGTGTGATGAAGAGGAAGAGGAGCTGTGTGATGATGAAGAAGAGGAGCTGTGTGATGAAGAGGAGCTGTGTGATGGAAGAGGAAGAGGAGCTGTGTGATGAAGAAGAGGAGCTGTGTGATGAAGAGGAAGAGGAGCTGTGTGATGAAGAGGAAGAGGAGCTGTGTGATGATGAAGAGAGAGCTGTGTGATGATGAGGAGGAAGAGGAGCTGTGTGATGAAGAGGAAGAGGAGCTGTGTGATGAAGAGGAAGAGGAGCTGTGTGATGAAGAGGAAGAGGAGCTGTGTGATGATGAAGAAGAGGAGCTGTGTGATGAAGAGGAAGAGGAGCTGTGTGATGAAGAGGAAGAGGAGCTGTGTGATGAAGAGGGAAGAGGAGCTGTGTGATGAAGAGGAAGAGGAGCTGTGTGATGAAGAGGAGCTGTGTGATGATGAAGAAGAGGAGCTGTGTGATGAAGAGGAAGAGGAGCTGTGTGATGATGAAGAAGAGGAGCTGTGTGATGAAGAGGAAGAGGAGCTGTGTGATGATGAAGAAGAGGAGCTGTGTGATGAAGAGGAAGAGGAGCTGTGTGATGAAGAGGAGCTGTGGGATGAAGAGGAAGAGGAGCTGTGTGATGAAGAAGAAGAGGAGCTGTGTGATGAAGGAAGAGGGGAAGAGGAGGAGCTGTGTGATGAAGAGGAAGAGGAGCTGTGTGATGAAGAGGAGAAGAGGAGCTGTGTGATGAAGAGGAAGAGGAGCTGTGTGATGATGAAGAAGAGGAGCTGTGTGATGAAGAGGAAGAGGAGCTGTGTGATGAAGAGGAAGAGGAGCTGTGTGATGATGAAGAAGAGGAGCTGTGTGATGAAGAGGAAGAGGAGCTGTGTGATGATGAAGAAGAGGAGCTGTGTGATGAAGAGGAAGAGGAGCTGTGTGATGATGAAGAAGAGGAGCTGTGTGATGAAGAGGAAGAGGAGCTGTGTGATGATGAAGAAGAGGAGCTGTGTGATGAAGAGGAAGAGGAGCTGTGTGATGATGAAGAAGAGGAGCTGTGTGATGAAGAGGAAGAGGAGCTGTGTGATGATGAAGAAGAGGAGCTGTGGGATGAAGAGGAAGAGGAGCTGTGTGATGAAGAGGAAGAGGAGCTGTGTGATGAAGAGGAGCTGTGGGATGAAGAGGAAGAGGAGCTGTGTGATGAAGAGGAAGAGGAGCTGTGTGATGAAGAGGAAGAGGAGCTGTGTGATGAAGAGGAAGAGGAGCTGTGTGATGATGAAGAAGAGGAGCTGTGGGATGAAGAGGAAGAGGAGCTGTGTGATGATGAAGAAGAGGAGCTGTGTGATGAAGAGGAAGAGGAGCTGTGTGATGAAGAGGAAGAGGAGCTGTGTGATGAAGAGGAAGAGGAGCTGTGTGATGAAGAGGAGCTGTGTGATGAAGAGGAAGAGGAGCTGTGTGATGAAGAGGAGCTGTGTGATGAAGAGGAAGAGGAGCTGTGTGATGATGAAGAAGAGGAGCTGTGTGATGAAGAGGAAGAGGAGCTGTGTGATGAAGAGGAAGAGGAGCTGTGTGATGAAGAGGAAGAGGAGCTGTGTGATGATGAAGAAGAGGAGCTGTGGGATGAAGAGGAAGAGGAGCTGTGTGATGAAGAGGAAGAGGAGCTGTGTGATGAAGAGGAAGAGGAGCTGTGTGATGATGAAGAAGAGGAGCTGTGGGATGAAGAGGAAGAGGAGCTGTGTGGTGATGAAGAAGAGGAGCTGTGGGATGAAGAGGAAGAGGAGCTGTGTGGTGATGATCAAAGACTAGCCAGAGGCTCTGGATTGGGCGCCTATATCCTCAGTGAACCAATCAGCGGATCTGACTGCGCATCAGAGTGTTGATGGGGGGTCATCAGCGGGCGCTGTGTGATGATGGGCTTTGATTAGTTCTGGCCCGCCATCTTGCGGCTCAGCAACACATTGGTCCAAGGCCAAACGTACTTGCCTGCCCCTGATGTAGAGCCTTGATGTCCTGAACTAGCTGAACCCTGCTATTGAGTCAGAGTCACTGTAGAGCAGGGGTTACGACCCGCCTCCCTACTCAACAGTGGCTCGTGAGGCAGTCCGCAACATAAAACAAAAGTACACACACGTAGGCACTAAACTGTGATCGTACATTTATTGCCACAATACTCAATCATTCCACTGGAGGACAGGTAAAACAAACAAACAGACGGAGGGGACTCGGGCCAACCACGGGCCGTAGGATCCAGAGCCTTCCTCCGCTACCCAAAATCACACAGAACCTAACGGGAGAAATAAAGCCGTGAAAACCTAATCCTAACACGTCCTGCAGGAAACACAGCAACAAGCAAAAGAGCTCTGACACAGCAGAGACATCCGGAGTAGTGATCGGCTCCTCCTTCTCCTTCAGCCTCCTCTTTTATGCTCAGCTGATTGGCCACTGGGAACACCTGGGGAAGGCGGAGCCAGGTGTTCCTGCACAGCAGAGAGAACAAAGAGGACACCAAAAGGGGGGGAGAGAAGCCAGCCTTGTTTCTTGGAAGTCATGTGACCATAGCTCCTCCTCCTGCTCCTCCTCCTCCTCCTCCTCCTCCTCCTCCTCCTCCTCCTCCTCCTCCTCCTCCTCCTCCTCCTCCTCCTCCTCCTCCTCCTCCTCCTCCTCCTCCTCCTCCTCCTCCTCCTCCCTCATGTAAGTATAAAGCTCACCTGCATTTATTTTCCAGCTTCTCTCATGGCTGCTTTGACATCTGCGCAACATGTAGGACTTTTCATGTTCCTGTGGATCACTGGCTCTGTGGCTGCAGGAGGTGAGTGTGTGTGTGTGTGTGTGTGGTGTGTGTGTGTGTGTGTGTGTGTGTGTGTGTGTGTGTGTGTGTGTGTGTGTGTGGTGTGTGTGTGTGTGTGTGTGTGTGTGTGTGTGTGTGTGTGTGTGTGTGTGTGTGTGTGTGTGTGTGTGTGTGTGTGTGTGTGTGTGTGTGTGTGTGTGTGTGTGTGTGTGTGTGTGTGTGTGTGTGTGTGTGTGTGTGTGTGTGTGTGTGTGTGTGTGTGTGTGTGTGTGTGTGTGTGTGTGTGTGTGTGTGTGTGTGTGTGTGTGTGTGTGTGTGTGTGTGTGTGTGTGTGTGTGTGTGTGTGTGTGATCTGATTTAAGAGCGGGTTTGAAAGAAGAAGCACGAAGGTGTTTTCTTCTGAGTAATGAAGGATTCGCTGCACATTATCACAACTATTACATATTAATGTACATATATAAATATAAATATATATATTGATTTACAAAATGTGTTTTATCTATTTGATGGATTAGCAGTTCATGTTATTGATCTTTCTCAATAAAGGAAAAGAAAGGAGAACTACATTAAAGTACCATTTCATATATAACTGCACTAGTATGTATTCCTCCGTGCAGTGTTTGCATTCTGTCTTATCTCATTATATTATATATTATATATATATATATATATATACAGTAGATATATGTTTTCTTATTCCTTCTCGAACTTACACCATTGTCTTCTATCCATGTCTATGTCTAAGTATGTTGTGTGTCACAGTGTGGAGGCTTTAGGTTTCATTGTGTTTACGACAACAAAGCGTTTTTAGTATTTATTATATGAACTCATTTCTTAAAAAGAAAACAGTCTCGTTGCCACGCAGTACAATCTGAGGGACTACTTTCCTTGGTGGAAGCGATATCCCTCCGCCTCAACCAAAGCAGACGCTTTTATTTTCAGTTAGTCTTTACTTGTTAAATGTGTTTTGTGTATTTTATTATTGATTTATTTTAACTGATCATTTCTTGTTTATAATTGTTTGTTTCATTTGAAGCTGAAATGTTTTTCTGTCTCGCGACAAACCGAGTTTTTTATTTACTTCCTGTAAAAGGAAACTCTGTTCTGCTGATGTTAGGAGCGTTGTGATTGGCTCTGTTCTGCTGATGTTAGGAGCGTTGTGATTGGCTGAACTCATTTCTAAGATGGCCACCCTCCACTCCATCAGAGGGAACCCGTGTTGCGACCGGCCATTCGTTTTTCTTTATCAAACCAACTGAGTCTGAGAGGCCTTTTTGCTTTTTGCCTTACTAGTGGAAAAGCTCCATAATGAATGTTACATGACCCAACAAGTTCTTTCCTTTTCTCTCTTCTCTTAACTTAATAGTCCTGTCTGTAAGTATAACCCAATGTAAAGTGCTTTTGCACCATTTGGGCTTCAAAACAGGCATTTCTACTGCATGTGTTTGGAGAAATGACAATCAATGGCCCAGAATTGTACTTTATAAACTCTGAATCCCCGCCCCTCGCTCTGAGGACCATGAGTTCATTTAGGTGAAAAGCAAAAAGGCCTCTCAGACAAAAAACAGACGCTCTTCCGTTTACTGGTTTAATAAAGAGAAACAAATGATCCGAGGATACACGGAATAAAAATAACTAAATGCAAAATAACAATAATAATAATCTTTATATAATAATGACAATTAAAATCTTTGTATAATAATTCTACCAACAAAAAAGAAATGCACAGTAATAATGACAATAATAATAATGTATAATTCAATTTTGAATAAATTATTAACTATAATAATAATAAAAACAATACATATCTATAAGAATATTAATAACATTGTTATAATAATCTCTGAATAATAATACAAAATATAACAATGAATAAATGCATAACAATTATAATATCAATAATAATCTTTATACAAAATTATTAATAAAAAGAATAAATAAATAAATGCATAATAATCATAATTCATGAATAATAGTAATCTAGACACACAGGTGTTTGTGATCTTTACGTTGAACATCCTGTGCACTAAATGACCTTTACTTGTGAACTTCTGGATGACAACACTACACATCCTTTGTGTAGTTTAATGAGGACACACAGTGGGACTAATCGAGAATGAACTGATCGCAATCAAATTACTGACTTTTGCATTTATTTTCCAGAGTCGCTCGAAAGAAAGTCTGGAGAAGACGTCATCCTTCGGTGCAACAGTGTCACAGATGCTGCCATCACTAAGTTAGAGTGGATCAGACCTGAGCTGGAGGAGGACTACGTCTTCTTCTTCAGAGAAAACAGGCTGATTGAAAGCTTCCAGGATCCACGTTATCGAGGTCGTGTTGATCTGAAAGATCCAGAGATGAAGAACGGAGACGCTTCTGTTCTCCTGAAGAACGTCAACACCGACGACACGGGAACGTACGAGTGTCGGGTTCAAACTCACTCCAATAATCGCAGGAAGAGAAACGTGAGAGAGTTTGTGCGCTCCGTCAATCTGACCGTCTCTGAACGTGAGTCTGTGTTTCTCCTGAAGAGTTCCTCCATTGGTTTAAAGATGATGTTGATGCTCTGTGATCGGTAGATAATGTCTGACATGAGACTGGAGAGGAAACAGATTCTGTTCTTCATCACCTTCATGATCAGCTGTTCTCCAACATGAGGGGAGGTCCAGTCGTTTCCTCACTGCTCGCTCTTTCTGTCCTCAGGTCCTGAACAACCAGAGGGTCCCAGAGGACACGTTGGGTGGGGAGTTGGTTTGGGACTGCTTTGTCTCGTTGTTGTTGTTGGTGGTGGTGGTGGTGCTTGTTGTGAGATCTAAAAGAGCTAAGGTGAAGAGACCATTAGAGAGTGTTGATGTTGAACTGAACCCCTGACAAGTCCCAGAGCTCTTCACACCTGACTGTCCTCCATCCCCTGCTTCTAAACTAAATCATCTTCTCCCTGAATCTCCACCTCGACGCGGTGGAGGGGCTTTACCCTCTGAGACGCAAACACCTGGTGAGGGTTGAACCAAACGTGACTCAGTTTCTAACTTCAGTCTGAGAGAGTGCAGAAATATTCTCCTTCAGTGATCAGCCAATCAGAAGGATTGACTCTGCTGCTGAACACCTACCCCTAGATTCCACCGGGTCCGTCTGCGTCGCGTTACGGCTGCGCGGTTTTGTTCCGGCTGCGCGGTTTTGTTCCGGCCTCCACCGGCGTCATACCCTACCGGGCGCGTTTCAGAAGCATTTCAGAAGCGGAGTTTCTGAACTGCATTATGCTGTGTTCACAACGGACGCGATGCGAATATTCTCATCGCTCTAACCGCTGGAGTTTCACCGCGGCTGTCAGCTGTATTTACTCCTGTCATTCAAACAGAACGCGCTGGAGAGGGGGCGGGGCTTATTTCCATGTAAATACTGTGGTGGAAACCAACTACGACAAAATGAACATATTTTACCGTGATTTATTGTAATACACGTTTCAAAATGATGCCGAAGTAACTGCATACTGATACCGGTTAGTAAAAAACATGAATTAATGCTTTGACAAGACGGCAGAGAAACACCTTTTTAAAATGCGTGTTTTCTGAATGGATCAATCAGGCTAAACCAGTGGTTCTCAAACTTTTTCTGTCAGGCCCCCCCTTTGGAGAAAAAAAAAAGTCGGGCCCCACCAACACAAATAGTCAGGCTCAGTGGCGGCGCCAGAGATTTATTTTGGGGGTGCTGTGGGGTAGCTTGACGTTTCATAGAGGGTGCTCAAACATTTAGGGTTTGCCATTAATGTACCGGTCGCTACAGAGGAATGTTCTACTGCAACACTCCCCACGCAAATACACAGTGTGACTGCTACCATGAAGGCTCGATGATCAGCTCACGGCATATAGGTGTAAGCAGGGGTCAAGTGCTATTTTTATAGGTGGTGTGTGGACCTCACATAGGGGGGTCCGGGGGCATGCTCCCCCGGGAAGATTTTTAAATATTGAAGTTAAAGCATCAATCTGGTGCACTTTGAGAGCAACATGAAGAGATCTATGGAAACATCTCTCAACACCCATTTGAAACAGAACTGGAAGCAGATTTACTTTTTCTTTATGGATATTTTGCAAATCACTCCCTTTAAACTTTATTCTTGTTTCACTGTCAGATAGTATTTCATACCTGTTTTTCATTTATTCTCTTATTTTTGTATAACTATAATGATCATATAAATGTGTGCCTCGGAAATAATTGTTTACATTAATGGTGACCAAAACGTTTGAGACCCACTGAGATAACACTGAGAGAGTCCTTTAGCTCACTGAGTCTCTCAGTCTGACAGGAGAGGACTCTCCTCCACTTTGTTGTTGAAAAAACTCCTTATATCTGTTAGCGTAGCTCGCTAGCACCAGAAGCTAACATCAACGATCTCCGGTACCGGTGCGCTCTCTCTCTCTCGCGCACGCACACAAAATGGCTCGTTCCACACACACACAGAGCCGAGCTTTAATGAAACACAGAGACCCAGACGTAATAGTACTGTACTGTATCATATTAATTTCGAATCAATAATTTTTCAAAATATGATTTACTTTTTTTTTTTTTTAAATCTTTTTTTTTTTTCTCCTGGTCTCTCGGGCCCCCCCTGTCATGCCTCTGCGCCCCCCTGCGGGGGCGCGCCCCCCACTTTGAGAACCACTGGGCTAAACTAACCTGTAGCTGCTCCGTCCACACAACAACGTCCTAAAGACAGAATTAAAGCAGCGATTGTATTCGTCATGACAGTCTGTGGTTTGTACATGTTTAACTTGTGTCCAGTTTCTGACCAGAGCTGTGAGGAGTTGATTAAAGAGACTCTCGTACACACACACACACACACGCACGCGCGCGCACACTTCACTGTGCACTGCTGAATGATGTGTGTGCAGAGTTTGACCCTTGAAGGCTGTTTCTTCTGCTCTGAAATGGAATATATTTGTTACATATTAATATAATTTTTGATTTTTTTATTTGATTCTGGATTTGTGAATAGGAGAAGTAGTATATGGTAAACATACCAAACACTAATTATTCAAAGTAAAGTATTTTATTTTGTATACGGTAATACTAAGGAGGGATAGGCCTATATGATATCATGTTTGACATTATTGATATTAAAAAAAGTGATTTGTTTTCCATGTCATTCGTGTGTTTTTCTTATCAAAAAGTGACGTGATTTATTTGTAAGCTCCAAATCCCAATGTTTCCCCCAATGGCCTTTGTGCCTTGAAAAAATGTGTAACACCAAAGGCCAAATGGCCTTGCCCCTAAAATGACAAAATTCCAAGCCTGGTGGCCGCGATCCTTGCGGACGCCGCGACGCAGCTGTAACGCGACCGCAACGCGACGCAGACGGACCCGGTGGAATCTAGGGTTTTAGGATCCACAGTGAAGCCTACCTTTCCGACTCAGCGCTAACAACATGGCGTCTGATCTGGTGTTGGTGTGTCAGAGCCTGGAAGTGATCGTGAGTTCACAAATATCTGATGCAGTGATTCATGGTGAGGTTATTTAGATATCAGCAGGTCAGCTTGAATCTGAACTCGGTGTGAAGAGGTCTCAAAGTGTGCATCTATCGTGTTGGTGATATATTTCACTGTGCTTTGTTTTGACGTATAGCTCCAGAAACACAGTCTGCTTCAGGTTGATGTGTCTGCAGATAATATCTCCACTATATCTCTACTCTACTAAATGCACTTTGAAAATATGCATCAGGGAAATGTCTGGGTGAATCTGAAAATGATTGTTTTGATAAGACTTTAAAATGTTTATGTATTTTCTACCAAGTAGATTTACATGAAATAATGAAATCAAACCTGTTTGACCTGAAAGTGCTAAAGGGTTAAAACTATACTAAGAAGAATTAGATTCAATGATAACTGATTGAAGTTGAATCAGAACATTCTCAGATAATGAATACAATAAATATCAGATGATAATAAATTGCACTTTGAGAACAGGAAGTGAATGTTCTTAAAACTCAAACACAGCTTGCTCTGAACTGTGTTCTGTATTTCAGGGATATATCTGTTGTCTTTACTTTAGTAAACTAAAGTTCTATTCGTGGGACATTCTACCAGAAACGTATATTATCTGTCCTGGGATTGTTACAGTGAATACAAATTATAATCCATAAAATATCTTGTTGTTTCTACATAGGTCTCATTAGGGTTTCAGGTGTTTTTTAACTTATTGAAAAACACTTTTGAAAAATTGAAGTTCTTAAAAATGGCCTGTCCCCAGCCAAATTAGAGCGAGGGGTTTACATTTCTTAATGAACTATAAACTTTTATTTTAAAAACAAACGTCATTAATAACACATTTAACTTGTTATCTTTTACCACAGTTCATTGAAAACATTGAATAATGCTTACATTTGACCAAAACATTGTGTTTTACAACAGTCCCCATGTTTTTGGTCAGTCCTGTCACGCTTCATAAAATACTCCTTAAAAACTGGTGTAATACACCTTTAAGAGCATGATTGTGAAGGAGTTACATCATCTGACTGAGGAGGAGCTGTCCTTGCATTTTTATATTTTAATCTTGTTTTTACACCTTGTTTTTACGTGGACAAGCTAAAGGGTCAGGTGCTGTCACGTTCAAATATCCCAGACAAGGATTATATTGTTTTTAAAAATGTATTAAAGTTGACTAAAATCCCTTGCTAGCAAGCTAACTATTTTTAAGCTAACATGTTGAAATGCTGAGTAATGGCAGTTAAAATGGCCGACGGTCAGGCCCTGTCAGACATATTTTGTATATCTGAGACCTCTAATATATATGAATTAAAAACAGTATAATAGGGGACCTTTAAATACCTGTTAATATTGTAATGGGGGTTATTATCTTTAAGTAATTTGTTTTAATTCATGGGAATTGCAGTTTAATGGCTCCAGTCAGCTGAGAGACAGAGGCATTGTCGGAAGAGAAGACATGATCTGGTACCTATTTGAGGATGTAATTTGTTTCATTCAGCCTGTGACCAGCCGTCATCATGACATCAAAAAAGAAGTTTGGGCCAAATTGGCAAAATAGAAGATGAACATTTGTTTCCTCATACTTGTCATTAGCTCCAATTGAAATAATGAATGCAGTGTGTTTTGTTTTTTTTCGCTTTCAAAAACAAAACGAAATTGTATTGAACTGTTGAATTACTTAATTGAAAAACATGTTTTAAGCTGACAATTAATCAATTATTAAATGAAATGAATTGTAGATTACCAATGTTATGTTGTAATAAATGTGTTTATTAAAACAATGCTTTGAGCAGTTATCAATACATTTCTATCAAATCTTATCGTGTGTCCTTAAATGATTATTACCACATCAGTCTAATATTGAATCATGATAATAATTTTAAAAAGGAAAACTTACCAAAACAAGATTTAAAAAATACAAACATACATTTTCTGAATCAATTCAATCTATTAAATCAGTCCTGTCAGTCCTGTCACGACAGGAAATTATAATACAGAAATTGACTTTTTTTTTTTTTTTTTAAGTGAAATAACCTCTACAATTGTGAGCTTGGAGGTCATATCCACATCAGCTGTTTAGAAAAAGAATTGGTATAAAAGTATTTTCTTTACAACAATATGACTACCTGGTGATTATTCTTTCCTGACCGTCCACTACAGTTAACTGATAGGTTGCTAAGAATTCTTAAAAGGATTAAAAAAACATTTTAGATACAATCAGGGACATGAAATCAATGGGAAAATGTTATTTGTATTAAAAAAATATATTAGGAAGCCATTCTACCGTACGGGTAGAATGGCCGTTTAAAAATGGATTTTATTCAATAATAAAAACATGCTGAGATGGGACAATATGTGTTCCTAACAGTTTAACATGTTCTCCATATGACCTGTTATTGAAATTGAAATAAATAAATAATTTTTCTTCAGTATATTTAGATGTGGAAATATACGTTTCTGGTAGAATGACTCTTGTATATATCATCTGTTCTTATTTTCATATCTCAAGATTAAAACTTTAAGCACCTTAAATTCAGTCTGAAGTGCACTTTAAAGTCATGTTATAGAGTACCCCCCCCCCCCCCCTCAGGTCTGCAGTGGAGGTGAAGCTGAAAGTATTTAGCTTTCTGTTTCAGGGAGTTCCAGTTAGCTCTTTATCTCTAAACTCAACGCTCAGCTCGACTAGTGATGTCTGAATGAGCCGTTTAACACCGTGCAACACTCACAGCGTCACAGACTGGATGCAAAAGGATTATTTGAAGCAACACATTAAGTTGAGGAAACACTGGAGTCAAATGTAATGAAAGTCAGATGGTGTCTTAGACGGGCAGTGATATCATAAAGCTGTTAATGTACGCATTCAAACACTTGTTCTGTTCCCAGCTGTGTTCACCTTGCAGGTGCAGCTCTGTGGCTTTGATCCTGGATCAAGTGTTTAAG